TTAAAAATTAATTTCGTCAAAATTAGAATGCTTAAAATTAAAATACAAGTAGTCACAAGGGAGATTTGCCGGCCTTTCAGACAAGACGAATAAACATTCAAAAGCAGGGTGTGGCACATCCAACTTTAACATGGGATTATTGCATAAGGCAATCTTCACATCACACCTATCACAGAATAAAAGATCAAGATAATTCCCATATATTATATTAGGAACGTCTATCGTTTGAAATAAACATAAATATGCAGCACAATCAGCTATGGATGTTGTTTCTTTGAAAAGTTGGCCCACAGATACAGAACCATCCGCAGTTTTCTGTCATTTTATGTTGGGAAGATTATAGTCACCCCAAACGAATATGTCAGTGAAACTGTTATTCTCAATGAGATGGATCAAAGAGAAACAAAAGCTTTCATAAGTGACAAGCTGTGAAGCTCCTGGAATATAAGTGTTTCCGACCAATTGTAATTAGTAGGTACAAATATTTTCAATAGGCGTTGGCGTAGTTCTAGATGAAAGACAACTCTTGACTGCTATTAGTACGCCGCCCTGAGTTTTACATGCACTGGTTTTTATGGATCCCTGATAGCCCTCCAACCCCAATTCGCTGCTCATTATCTCACAATCCAGAAATGTTTCTGTCAGCAATATCACATCGAAATCCTCCACGAGTACATTACACATGAGATCATTGATTTTGGTCCTTATACCTCTAACATTTTGGTAATAGAATGTTAGAGCTCCTTTAGGTTGTTGGGAAGTTGGGTCAACTGAAAATTTTGTTTTTTTTTTGTCTTTTTCTAAAGGTAAATGGCCTAGAAATTACATTTTTCGGCCATTTCGGAGTTTGTCATAATATAGTTCAGTAGTAGTTCCAACTTTAAATGACTTTGAGTAAGCTTTGGAAGGAAGCCCTTGAATTATCAGAGCGTTTGACTCCTTTATATTAGCTTTTTGTTTAATATAATCATCAATGACCTGTGTTTTGTGACATTTTCTCGCACTTTGCCAATAAGAATCCATTTTTTACCTGGAACTCCCTGAAAGAGTTAATCTGGAAGTATCGGCCTATTACTGGCATGATTTACTACATTAGTTGAAGAAATTGGGCCTCCAGTTTCGTGCGTCTTTTGTTCAATAATCGGCCGTAGAATAGTGTGAACAACAGCATTATTAATTGCCCTAGAAGCTTGACTCTATGTTATTTCAGTCCTAGACTCCGGACTTCTCTCAAAAGAAAAAGGATCCATGCGAATTTCCATTTCTTGGCTGTTTTTCGCCAGTATTTTTGTTCTGTTTATTAGAATTGAGGTTGGAAGCAGATATTGTGTTTTGCTTCATAGAAATGAGGCTAGAAACAGGTGTCTTCCTTTTAGAAGAATCGTGCAAAGTTTACTTTAGTCGCCCGTCCGACCTTTCAGACAAAGGTGAGAACACTGGCGGTGAGTTTGGAGAACGGGGTGATTTGTTTATTTTCCACCTTACTTTCACATGCAGGAGCTCATTGTTGTCCATCAAAGTAACCACCAATTGGTTCAACAAGTCATTTTCCCGACCCAGCTCTTCTTTACTAGAAACGCACTTGCCGTCATCAGATGATTTCGAAATTTTGGCACGCAAAACGGACACAAAAGTATACCCAAACCAAGTGTTTTTGCACCCTTTACCCGCACTAAACACGCTGGGTGATATTGCCTAGCACGTTTTATACATTTGAGTTCAGTTTTGACTTCCCTCTTACAAGAATTACATAGTTTTTTTTCCGAATTTTCGGACGACAATTTTTGTTGACTTTCATTTTCCGCCATCTTGACAATAAGTGTCATTCCTTATTCTCTCTCTTCGTGAGATTCGCATGGATCTTCTAATAGCATCCATTTCAAATGATTCTACTTTTTTTTTGTCTGTCTGTAAGTCTCGACTCCATATAGTAGGCTGCTCTTTATCATTGGGCGCTTTCTTTTATTCAGCGGTGGATCCATCAGTAATCAGCCTTTCTTTGTCTAGCTCATAGAAAATAGGAATATCTGTCTAATAATGCTGGTAGCAGATGGATCCATTGCTGAATAAAAGAACGCGCCCATTGTCTCGTATATTTTGAATTTTCTCTTCTTTGTTATTTGCTTGTTCCATAAGATTCCATTTTACCATCCTATTACTTTTTTAGCTTTAACTATTCGCTTTCCTATTTCTTTCACATCTGTTCTGGTGTTGTCGAATGTAATACCTAGATACTCATATTCTTGACATTGCAGAATTTCCTGATCATCGCCCACTTCCAAGGTTCCGTTCTGGGTGCTGTCGAGTCGCCTCTGATATAGAAATATAGTGCTGTCATCTCTAAAACTGTCAAAATTCTTGTTCATTTTCCTACAGCCGCAAGTTATTCCTCTTAGGACCCTCACGTCGCTTATCTCTGTGTTTGTTTCTTGTTGGCTTATCGCATAGTCCATAATAGTTTTCAGGTTACGGGTATTCTGTATGTGTAGCGGTGAATATCTTTGTGTTTGAAAAATACATTGTTTATTCTAAGATTGTGGCTCTCACGGAGATATATGAGGCCTTATTGATTATTTCTTCTCCAAATGGTCCTACAACTGGGTTATTGTTCGTCCTTCTGATTCTTCTATAGAAATCCCCTATTATTATGATTCCTCTATTTTTTCCCATATCTACTAGGATTTCATTCAATCTGTCAAAGAACTCCTGTTCAATGCCGACTCTTTCGTTCTCTGATGGAGCGTATAGGCTGCTATAATGGTGATGTTATAGCCATGTAGTTTCATCTACAGTTTCCTAGTTGTTAATTTTGTTTTTCCAGTTTTTCCTTATCAGTACGGATACCCCTCTAGCTGCTCTCATTTCCTTTGACACTCCAGTAAACGAAAAACAAAAGTTGCTTAAGTTGAAAAAGGATTGTTCATGAATGTCCTGCCAGTTCCAAACACAATCCAGTCTTGTTAACTCTCTTAGTGGAGCAGTAATCTTTGATAAATCTGGTATACATTTACCCAAATACTTTGCCATACCAAGGACCCTTAATAAATCATTTCTGTTTTTTTAACTTCTATTTGGATCTACCCCCGCCTTTGAGTAAATTTATCCCATAAATTTTACACTTTTCAATTTAAACTGGATTTTCGAAAAATTAAATTTAATATTATGCTTGAGAGTACTAAATGTGAATTATGATCATGTTCGAACTGATTTCCACCGGTAACTATAAGGTCATCAAAATGGAGCCCTACGCCGTCCAAGTCTCCAAATATTTCATAAATTTTCCTTTGGAAGACTTCCGAAGCAGAACAAATGCCAAAAGGTAAACGCAAAAATTCAAATCGCCTAAATGGTGTGCCAAAAGCTGTGTACTTTGAACTATATGATTGTCAATTTTGATCTGGAAATAACCGTCTTACATATCAAGCACCGAAAAATATTCTTTATTACATAATTTGACAGCAATTTCCTCAGAAGTCGGAATTAAAAAATGTTCACGACGAATTACCTTATTCAAATACTTGGGGTCTAGGCACAACTTCAAGTCTCCATTACTTTTTTCCAGGATTCAGCCACTCAGTTGGTTCGTCAAGTTTTTTAATTACACCTTGAACTTCAAGTTGCTCTAGTTTCAATTTCAATCTATCATGCAATACTCTAGGAACTCTCCTGGGAGGCTGAATATGTGGAACGGCATCTTTTTTCAAAGAAATATGGTGCTCAGTTGGAAACTGGCCTAAACCATCAAAAACACTAGCATACATTTTCTTAACATCTTCGAGAGACTTGACATTGAGTCCTGGGCTAATCTTTTAATTAGTTTTAGTTTTAAACAGGCAGATAACCCAAGCAAAGGTAGCTGGTCAGTGGAGTCAATAACTAAAAACTCAAGAGTTTCTTTATTACAGTTGTTGACTTCTCAAGACAAACTAACTTCACCCCGAGGTTTTATCCTGAAACCACTACAACCATATGACCCAAGGGTTACTTTGGTTGGTTTTAAAAGAAAACTAACTTTTAACTCTTTGAGAACATGTAGAGACAAAACACTTATACCTCGGCCCCAGTATCAAGCTTAAATACTACCTGATTTTTGTTCTCAATCTGCACAACTTGTCTCCAGTCATTCTCCATCTCAGTTTGGTTGTCTCTGCTGTCGCACTCACTGATCACCTTATCAATTTTTCGAGATTTCATAGAACTCACTCGACACATTGAGTCCACGTAGAAAGTCTCAGTTTCACTAGAGCTGTCACTACTTCCTCCTTTTGTTGTGTGCTCTTTCTCTAGTTCGTGTATAGGCTTCTTCCATGACTGTCTCTCGCTAGATTTTTTGTGTGGCTTACTAAAACCTTCACCAGCACACATTACTGCAAAATGGTTTTTTCTTTGGCAAGCTGCACATGTTTTCCCGTATGCCGGGCATTCACCATTTAGTATGTGTTTATAGCCGCAAAATTTGCAAAAACTTTGGCCACCACTTGAACTATTAGTGGTACTACTTTTCTTACTGTTTTGGAAGCTATACTTCCTAGTTTTGATTGCATTACTTAATCTGTGATTCATTCTGCAAAATCTTGGTCTGTGTTTTGCTAACCTCAGTGGCTCTGCAAAAATCAATTTCTTTAGTTAAAGTTAGCTTGGACTCTCTCAGGAGCCTTTCTTGAGTATTTTTATCAAAAATAACTATGACCACACGGTCTCTAATCATTTTATCTGGCTGAGAGTATCCTGTAGTTTTTACTGCTTTTCTCAATTCTGTTAAGAAACTATCAAAAGTTTGACCATCTTTTTGGCCAATACTGTTGAATTTGAACCGCTCAAAAATCACATTTTCTTGAGGCGAGCAGTAGGTATTCCTTCCTTTTTTCTTGATTTCGGTTAGTGCTATTAAATCGATGTTCAACTTTTGAAGTAATGCGCATTATTATTTGTACATAGATTACTTGAATCGTTTGAAACTAACCCAAACTCCAATAATATAAAATGTATTTTTGTTGCAGGCCCACGTAGTATCTGCTTTCGAGCAGAGTCTTACCTCGATGACCCAAAGATTGCAACATTTAACGTCAACATCAGAGAAAAAGGTAAGAAAATTCATATCAAACACCCAACAAACAATAATTTGTTCGTTTCCAGGATAGCGAACTCCAAGAACTCCGTCAAGCCATGGAATCACTACGAGCTCAATCGATACAAGCAGGCATAGGCTCCAGCTTAGCCAGACAACCTAGTTCCGATTCAGTATCCAGTTTATCTTCGGCCTGTTCCTTGGACAAACAAGAAAAAAAGAAAAAGAAAGGTTGGCTCAGGAGCAGCTTCACCAAAGCCTTTTCCAGAAACGCCAAAGTTACCAAAGTACAATCCAGTCACAGCGAAGGTGAGAACGAGAGGCACCATAGTCCACCACCGCCCGCGCCTATTGATCAGGGCCAAGAAGTGGCCGAACTCCAAAAACAACTCCGAGAAAAAGATTTGGTGTTGACTGATATTAGATTAGAGGCTTTAAGCTCGGCGCATCAATTGGAAAGTTTAAAGGTAGGTTGCTTCATCTTAAAATGACTAAAATTAATCAGTTTTTTTATTGTAGGACACTGTAATGAAAATGCGAAGTGAAATGTTAAACCTAAAACAAAATAATGAGCGACTACAAAGAATGGTGATTGGAACTAGCACTCCATGTTCAGACTTAACAGTAGAGGCCAGATCTAACTCATCTTTGGATGCTCTTGGAGACCTTATACCATCCGAAGAACCTGCTCCTGAAACGGAAAATGATGGCAAGAGGGTGGCGATATCAGTGTATCTTGGACAACCTCAAAGTTTTGAAAGGTAATTTACAAATTTGGAGGTTGATGGTTTTGAAATTTACTCCTATTATTGTCCTTTGTGTGCATTATATGACGATCGATTTCTATTGACCTAATGTGTACAATAATAACCTTAATTTTGAAAGAATATAATTTTATCAAATACTCTGGACCTGATCAGTAGATCAGCCAATTCTTTCACATTTTCTCTCAAATTCCCCATCTCTATTTTCCAGTTTTTTCCTTTCAGTTATTGTTTATTCCAGGCTATTGAATGTTTTCTTTTAAACTTTTCTCAATGAAGAGAATTCAAGAGCCTGTAATAGAGAAAGAATGATGTTTCTAACCAATTCTTTTACAATTTCTCAAATTCCCCATATCTATTTTTCGATTAAGAGAATTCAAAAGCCTGTAATAGAAAAATAATGAGGTTTCTAACCAATTCTTTCAAAATTTCTCTCAAATTCCCCATTTTTGATTTTTTTCCTCCCAATTATTGTTTATTCCAGGCTCTTGAATGTTTGTTTTCTTCTAAACTTTTTTAAATGAAGAGAATTCAAGAGTCTGTAATAGAGAAAGAATGAATGTTTTTGGGTGTAAGTCTGGGAATATAGCTGTCATGTGTAAACCACAGGAAAGTGCACTTGCTACTTGCCGGGAATCGCTTTCTATAAGTTGATGGACCGGCTAGTTTACTTGCCGCTACGCCGAATTTCTGTTTGTACTTACCGGTGAACGGGTCACAAAAACAGTCGTCCACGTTTCTGTATAAATAAGTACTGCAAGGGAAACAAACTATCATGAGTGACAAGATATTGTAATGTGACTTCCAATTTGATTTTAGGAGAAATAGGACTTCTCATCCTCGTTTCTAACTTTGTCAGTTTAGGTTCCACTAGTCTTGACAGTTCTTGAAATTTTGGGTATGATAATCTCATATAATTCCTATAAGAATCAGGATCTTCAATTGGTATCTCCTTTAAGAGTCGTTCTGATGCACTCAGAGTCAGCATGTACTACCCTACTTGGAGCCATTTTATTTTTTACTGTTTGGTAAATAAACTTGAAAATATGTTAACACAAATCAACCCAACGTAATCTCAAGTCGCTTGGCAAGTGACACTGCTAACTACTTTGTATCTGATCCGCACGACTCCTATCAAGTATTGTCCAGATCATAAACAAATCAATTTTATTGTGAATATTGCTGCGGTAAACTTTTGATCGAAACTTCTGTTCAGATTGCATCACAATTAGAAGATATTTTAGAGACCATGGAATTCCACAAAGAATTACTTCTGATAACGGAACTAAATTGAAAAATGCAATTGTAACAGGATTTATGTACTTTACATAAACGACACCTCGAAACCCTAATTCAAATAGTCCTATTGAGAGATTACATTCTACCTTGAGAGAAAGTTTAACAAGCTTGAAATTACAAAGCCCTGATAAAAACATTAATGACCCAATGCTAATCGCAATCTTGTTTTGTGTTTATGATTGTTATTATTATTTAAAAACAGAAGTCAAGCAGAGGGCTTGGAAGAAACTTACATCCAGGATTGAATGAGTACAGGCTGAAAGAAATTTTTTCTTCTTTGAAAAAAGAAGAATTTATTAGAAACCGATGAGACTGTTTTCTACAATTTCTCTTTAGCTAAAGGTTATGGCAGTTCATGGGAGGTGAGCCAGTATGGGTATAAACAGTTTCTGTGCATCAAACAAGGAAATCGTAGCTCTATAAGCTATGGCTACTTGATCCAGAGTCTACGCTTTTTTTGAAAGTATTTACTGAGACCACCAATACTGTCGTCTCACTCTCAGACCGGCCAGTCCAGAGGCCTACCACTCAGTTGCTCGGAAAGTTCCTGCGCTAAGTAATTTAACACATCTCTCCTTGTTCAAGTTTTATCGTGAGCTCTTAAGATTATTATTGCTGTAAAAGATGTCCTATTCGAAAATGTAATAGCGACTGACTAGTTTCTGAGCTTGATTCAGATAACCCCCAAGTTTAGTGTGAACCATGCTTTTGGAGTCTAAGTGAATATGGATAAGGCCTCTGTGTTGAAGAGTCACTCTTTGGACACTATCCAATGTCATTCAGGAAACAGGTGCTCCACACTAATGAGAGTCCTGTGTAAAGCTTGACTATAATCGATGGAGTATATTAAGTATAACAGGGCCGCAGGGCCCTTATTCTCGTGACAGGGGAGCAGCGTTCTGTCTTAAGTAGCCTATATTTATATTTCCATAAAACTGACAAAGACAGAGCAACTGTTGTCATGAGAACGCTGTTATCCGGTTACGAGAATAGACACCCTGGTTTTTGGTTTTTTTGAAGTTGTGTGAGTTCTCATTTTGTCCTTATGCTTGGCGAATTCGGTAGCTAAGAATGTTATTGATAGGTACCTAGCTTTGGGTTGTTTGGTCCAATATGCAATATTGTGATATTGATGTTTTGCGGTTCTGAAAATTTTACAGTCCATTTGGTTTGCATATATTGGGTGAACTAGTGGTGACGAGTGAATTGTAGAAGATTTTGGTGTCATCAGCGTGATATCCTTGTTCTGATTTCAAAAATAAGTGACTCCCGGAACATTTGCCATTTACTCTCACCTGAAAACTTCCTATATTGAAGGACATTTCCCAGGATAAGATCACTGCAATCTATATCGTACTCCATCCGCCTTGTAAAGAAGTTTTTCAATTGTAAGCTTATCCAAGACATAAAAGCAAGGCACTTATTATCAGTTGGCGTGTTGATGTCATTCTGTGATGCTGAGGCAGTGGGGTAGGTTGGTTTCAATGGGGTGACCCACTGGCTCGAAGGAAAACCATCTGGGTCGAAATGATTTTAAAAGCAAATCTGAGACTCAGTTGAAGATTTTTTTCAAGTACTTGCGGAGAGTGAAGTTAAGCTAATACTCGATAATTGTTATGTTGGAATTTGCAGTTCTGTTGATTCGTGGAATTGAAATATCATCCGATTATTGTGGACTAGAGTCAGAAGTTCTATAGTCCTTTGCCACATCCTGGACCCCTCCAGAAAAAATGGTGGCAGTAACTGGTTGAGCATTTCCTGGGGCATAAAACCATCTGGGGCGAAATTATTTAACGGGCAAATCTGAGACTCACTTGAAGATTTTTTCCAAACATTTGCAGAGAGTGAAGTTAAGCTAATAGGTACCTACTCGATAATTGTTATGTTGGAATTTGCTGTTCTATTGATTGGTGGAATTGGAATATCGTCCGATTGCGAACTAGAGTCAGAGGTTATATGTCCTTTGCCACATCCTGGACCCTTCCAAGAAAAATGATGGCAATAAATGGTTGATTATTGGGCCAGTCTGGAATAGCCAGATTGGCAGTATAGACGCTAGAGAAGTAGTCAGTAGTCATCAAAAGCAAAAGCCTCCGCTGTTTGTGTATCAACAGCGTGTTGAATAATTTGGTAACTGACACAAACCATCTCCAGCATTAACTTCATCTTGTTTACTTTTTGCATGTTCTGTATTCAACTAGATCTCAACTTAACTCATAGATACTCTCAACTTTATAAATCGTGTTTAAGACGCAGTGGTTATCAACAAAACTAATTTTATTCCAGATACTATACCGAACACTATGGTTACGACGGTAAAGGAACCAACACGACAGCAGAAATCGCCATCGCCTACACAAATATCGGAGCTTCCAGCTCGTGGGCCCAACTAGACAATGCTGTCCGTAGATCGTTCAAACAGTACGTAGCCAGACTAGATCCAGGAGGTGGTTTGGGCCTAGGCAGCGACTCCATAGCTAGTTACAAACTGGGAGAAGCTGAACGAAAACCGGACACAGGCCCACCAGATTTGTTACCTGTAGGCTACGCTGTTGGTAGAGTAACATCTGTACATGTGGTATTGCAACCGGTGGCAGCTCTAGCCTTTGAAGCACTGATTCCTAAAGGAGTGGCACAAAGGCTAGTGTCTCTTTTAGCTGAACACCGAAGGCTGGTGTTGTGCGGAGCACCCGGAACAGGCAAAACGCATTTGGCCACTAGACTGGCAGAGTTTCACGCTCAAAGTTTGGGTAGGGATCCTCAAGAGGCTGTGGCAACATTTAAGTAAGTACCTACCAATCATTATTTATTTGTTTAACAGGATAATCCCAATAACAAAAGAAATTTCAATCGTAAATTAAACTGGATGAACGCCATTGCAATCTTAAGACTAGGTTTTGACTTAAGCCTTAAATACCTATATGAATGAATGATGAGCTTGTTTTTTGATCAATTTCAATTGAGAGGGTGTGTTGAGCTAAATCGTTTGGAACTATAGGGGTATAGTTTGTTCACATTTCACATTCAACATTTTTAAAGACAAGATCTATTATGTTTCCATAATGGTTTGGAATATTGTTCAGTTGATCAGTCAGCCAAAGCTAGAAAAGTTCCTCAATTTACGTGATTTTGTGTAGGAGTTGATGTTAGAGTCACCTATTATGACAACTTGATTATTTTGCATGACTCAATCACACACCTTCTCAGTTTCGTACGTTGATTATAATTTCGATAATTTCCCGCACATTAGGTTAAGTGGATGTAAATGACCCTTTAGAGACTAAAACATCAATCTCGGTAATCGATTCTTTGATCTTACTGAAATCCAATTTTGAGGCAATCTTATTGCCACGTTCATAACATCCAAGCTACGATTCTGTAAACCACATAGTTATCGTTAAATATGTAAAAACTCTGTTTCAGTGTTGACAATAAATCCGCAAAAGAACTCCGCCAGTATCTTCAGCACCTTTCGGAACAAGCGGCTACAGGAGACAATAGCGTTTTACCATGCGTTGTAGTCCTAGACAATCTACACAAAGCTGGCCCTCTGGCGGACGCCCTAGGTAGCTTACCTAGAAACTTACCGTGTTTACTCGGAACTATGGCCCAAAGTGCTTGTTCGGCGACTAGTTTACAGTTGCAGCATGGATTTAGGTAAGAATTTTGTAACAAAACTTGAAAATATATTGACAATGGACTCGTTTCAGATGGGTACTAGTGGCACCTCACATGGAACCAGCGAGAGGTCTCTTGGGACGTGTTCTGAGGCGAAGACTAGCCGGTTTGGAGCTAGAGCAGGGTCCGCAACCAGAACTAGCAGCAATATTGGGTTGGTTACCGAGAGTTTGGCAACATTTGAATGCCTTTTTGGAAACGCATAGTAGCGGTGATGTGGCGATAGGACCTAGACTGTTTTTAAGTAAGATCTATGTTCAAATTATTTATTAATACAAATACAGAATCTACCTATAACTGTTCCTACTCTTATCAATAAGCAAGAAAAAGTCGTTAACTTATTGTTTAATGAGTCTCAGTGACTTGATAAATTGTAGTAATGTAAACTCAGATTTAACGTACTTAGTTGCTTCATAAAATATTCATTTTGATTAAAACAAATATCAAAAAGCTCATACTTTGCACGTCAGAACATAACAAGACTCATTAATATATTTTTTTTAGGTTGTCCACTAGAACTGGATGCTGCCAGAGCTTGGTTCGCAGACGTCTGGAACTACTCCTTAGCCCCCTATCTGCGCGAAGCAGCCCGTGAAGGCCTCCAACTCTACGGTCGTCGCGCTTCTTGGAACGATCCGGCGCAATTCATCCTGGATACGTATCCATGGCCCGGAGCTCCTCCGCAAGGCCTCACTACAATTTCTGCCAAAGATGTAGGTCTCGAAACTAACGCTAACGATCAAGCAGAAAGCGACGGAGATCCGCTGTTGAATATGTTGATGAGGTTACAAGAGGCTGCCAATTATTCCAGTCCTCATTCGAACGATTCGGATTGTAATAGTTTAGATTCGAATTTGACTCATGGCAGTAATGTTGGTACAGAAAGTGTGTCGTAACGAAAAATGATGATGGAAATTATGAGATTTATCGTTGGGTTTTTACCCGGAGTTTGAGGAAGACGTGATACTGATTAAGATGAAGTTTAAAAAGGCCTGTATGAGTATTAGTTGAAATCCTGGATATATTGTCCAGTATGTATTTATTTATTTACTCAGGAATTTATTAAAAATAAATTCATGTCGAGTTGAAAAAAAAAAAACTCCATGTTGCGGACTCCTAGAATACGTTTTCTGCCTGTAAAACTAATATTTGTTTTCTAAAGCAACGCATCATTATGAACAGTCAATGTTTTTTTTTCTTCATTATGCAGAATAAAACACATATGTGGAGGCTTGTAGAGTTTTTAAAAAAATATTCAGGAGGTCTGCAACTTGTCAAACTCCAAAACAATTCCTCAAAAAATATGATGTTTTAGAAACAAATTCCTTCAATCAAACAATAATTTCTCTCAGTCTTAATAGGGATATTAAGATTGTAATATTTTGGAGAAATATATCAAGCCACAACAACCTATAGTTAATATTTTGATTTTCATCAAATCACATATTATTTATGGGTCTACTATATTCTATTTGAAGATATATCCAGGAGTTTTCGCGAAGAAAATTCAGTTAAAGTTACAAATATCAAAAATGATTATTGCTATTTGTATTGTTAAATTATTTTTAGCATTAATTAATCAAATTCCTATTGTATTTTAACAATAGTAGATATAACGTTAATAATTTGTCTAAACATTTGTTTAAATCAAATCCCTTTAAATAATAAAAGTGACTTTCAAATTAAAATTCCAGGCAATAATATATTTGAAAAACAAACAATACAGATGAGCAACTAAATGAAGCTATCTGCAATCAGAAAGAAAACTAAGTTTCACAACCATGTCATTTGAGTATTCATAAGGTTACACAGAACCCAAAAATAAAACAATCAAATAATATATTCTCAGTGAATATATACTACTTACCAACTTAACCAAGTGCTTCAATTTTTTACTTAAAACCAATAAATGTATCGCTAAAGGTTAGTTTTTTAAATAGTTATTCTTCATAAACTAAGCTTTAATATTAGCAAAATTTTTACCAATCAACAAAAAACTAACCCTAACTAAGTGTTAATGTGAGAGTAAAAAATATATTTTGGGAAATATACAAAATAATACCTATATTAATGTGAAAAGCTGCTTTTTATATGCCATTTTTGTGCAATTTTGTATCAACTCAAAAAAAATCTGTTGTTAAATATGTATTTCTTCCGCTTCAAAAAACAGCCTTGTTAAACAGGGCTAAAATTTTCTTATTTGTACAATTTTTGTAATTTATTTTTGTTGTATAGTTTTTTAGTTTTTGTTTGTCTGTGTTTAAATGTACGAGTAATTCTGGTCAGAATTAACCAACAACTATTTATATTATGTAAATAAATTTAATTTATTATATTCACATTAAAAGAAAAAAACGACCCTTGTTCATAAGCTTTATATTTACCATGATAGTAAATATAATTTTATACAAATTGTAATATAAAAACTGCCAATAAATTATTTATCTTGAAGACTTATGTTTTTTTTTATCATTCACTCTTTCATTGTTGATCTGATTGATTGATTTGATATACAGCAGCAAGGCAAGGTTTAGTGTTTCCCTGACACTGCACCTAGTTAGCTTATTGTATCACTTGCTGTGTGTAATGAATAGAATAGACGTGTCTCTACATTTTGATTTGATTGAAGATGATCTGCTATTGACTGGTCTGGTTTAGGTAGATTTAACTGGGTTTGAATGATTTCCTCATTTTCATCCGATACTTGTTCTCGACTATTCGGTGATAAATGCTTGTTTGAAACAGATATTTCTTTCCCATTTTTCAGTCTGACAAACAAATAATGGGGATTTGATTCTATCCTTAACTTCCTTAACTAAAGGGTCATATATTTGCTTGTGCGAATATGCTTCTTTATCAAATTTTTTCCCGGAGAAGTCAGCCAAGATCGCAATGAGTCGCCCGTAGTAGTCCATGGATAATCTTTCAAATAGAACTGCTGCTTTTATTAAGGTTCCTTTATTTTTGAAAAATCGAGGCTTTACTTGTAAACAGACTGAACAGTTGGCAATCATTTTCCTAATATACTCAACTGAATACGGTAGATTTTTGCCACAAACCGAATGAATCATTCTCGTGACACCTGGATGACATAGACTGTAATGCAGATTTACCAGTTTCTGTTGGTATTCTTTAGTATTTATAACGGCACAAACCCTTGATAAAGCATCAGCCACTATGTTTTCTCTTCCTGGTCTATATACAATGTCATATTTGTAACAGGCCAATTCCAACCGCCATCGCTGTATTTTATCATTTTTTATTTTTCCTGCATGCTTATCATCAAACATAAGAGAAACAGAGCGTTGATCTGTTATTAGTCGAAAAGGTCGTCCGATTAAATAATGTCTCCATTTCCGAAGCGATTCAACTATAGCATAGGCTTCCTTGTCGACTGACGAATGACGTTTCTCGCTTTCCGACAGTGTCCTTGAGAAAAATGCTATAGGAGGTCTATTTTGTGATAAGCAATTTCCAATGGCATAGTCTGATGCGTTTGTTTCTACTGTGAATTTGAGATTTTCATCAATGGCAGTGACAACAGCTTTTGAAATATCTTCTTTCAGAGCTTTGAAAGTCGATAGAGCTTCTTGTGACATAGGAAATGATTGTGTTTGTACGAGTGGTCTGATTTTATCCGAAAATCTTGGAATCTATTTCTCATAATGGGAAAACATTACCGATACTCGTTTTATTGAAAAATTTAGAATAATCTCCTGGTGGAGGCAATTCTAAGAATGGACGAAGTCGATCAGGATCAGGTTCGATTTGTTGATTTTCAATTTCATATCCTAGGAGATTTATATTTCCAAGTCCGTACTTTGATTTAGTAGAGTTTATACTTTTCAGCAACTTTGAAGAACTTTTGAAGATTTTTGTCATGCTCTTTTTGAGTCTTACTACCTACTGTGATATCATCAAGATAGGCATATGTGCCTTGAAGATTTTCTTTCTTGATTATACTGTCAACAACTCTTTGAAAACTAGCAACTTCATTGGTAAGACCAAAAGGAATTCTTGTGAATTGATATAGTTCGCCGCACGCCTCAAACGCTGTATAAGGTTTTTCATGTTCGAGAATTGGAATTTGGTGATATGCACTTCTTAGATCTATAGTGCTGAAAACTTGGTACCTTGACACTTTTGAAATAATGTCTTCTATGTTTGGAAGTGGATATGCTTCTAGTTCAGTGAATTTGTTTATAGTCTGGGCATAGTTGATTCGTCTCTCATGAATTGTACTGGAATAAGTGACTAAAGCTCGAGCTCTCCAAGGCCATATTCACTCGTTGCTGAGCAGGAATTTGTAGAATCTTAAGTTGCTCAAGAAGAGAAGCGTTTATGAAACTTGATATACTTCCTGTGTTAATAAGAGCTTTTAACTGGTTGTTCACAAATTTTTGCATCAATTGTAGGTTTTCCAAGTCCTGGTGTTGAAGCTGCAGTCTCGATAATTGCAGTAACGATGGAAGCTGACGTTGACCTAGAGTCATGCTTTTTACTGTTACAAATTCTGGCGAAATATCCTTTCTTGGAACATTTTTGACAAGTAGCATCTAAAGCTGGACAAAGATATCTAGGATGACGTGATCCTCCACAAAACAAACATTTCGCTAGATTCTTGGTAGAAGTAGCTAAGATTTGAACGAATGATCTGACTTAGAATTTGAAGTATAATCAATTTAAGTTGCATTGATAGAATTTTGTACGAAGCTTTGTGAGTGAATTTCAGCCATTTCTAAAGATTGAGCTTGATTATGAGCCTCATTGAGACTAAGGGTTGTATTTTCAAGCAATCGAGTGGATTCTTATGATCTTCTGCAGTAACAGTTTGAAAATAACATTCAGTAGCTAAAAGGTTTAAGGATTGTAGATATTGATCTATAGATTCGGAAGCTTGTTGTTGACGGGTCGCTAATATATGTACCTAGTATAAGACCTCATTTTTAGCTTTGATGTAAGCTTTCTTTAGTATGGCTATAGCGGAAGCATATGTTGAACATTCACTCACCAATGCATAGACATTAGGAGCTATATGATTTACCCAGGAGTTGTAGTTTAATTTCATCTCTGAGATTTTGAGTTTTAGGCTTGTTGGCATCAAGAAAATTTTTGAATGTCTTCTTCCAATAATGAGTCCATTCCAGACTAGCAGAGCTGGTCGACGAATCTACTTGGAATTTTTCTGGACGATAGAAACACTCCATTTCTTCGCTAATTTTTTTATAAAATATTCGTCTAATAAATGGTAATGAATAGAACTTCCGGGCTTTAGTAAACTTCACGGCCCCAAAAATTTTGCGTTCTTATTTCATTTGTTTGAAAGCTTACATTAAATAGAACAGAATAAAACAAGAAAAATCGTTGGATCGCTCAGATTTTCCTCAAAAAATCACAAATTTAGTCCATAAATGTATATTATTATGAATTTCATTGGTTGAAACTAGTTTTCTGACTGTTTTCAACAAAAGAACTTCGCTCTGACAGACCATTATTGGCTTCAATTCAGTATTGTTATTACGGATAGTAAGTAATTGATAAAAACTTAAAACATAATATTTTTACACTTTTTTACTTTCATAGGACGTGCATCAACCGAATTAAGGAACCAATATTTTCACAAAATTGAGGTTTGTCAAATCATAGTTCGAGTTTGGGTTTTTTTTTACTTTTTTAGTGAAGTTGGAGCGATATTAAGCTGAGAAAAATAATATATTATACATTGAGCTGTGTTAAAGGCCCGACCTTTCGAGGATTCTTCTACGAATGTTTCCACTAAAATTTTGACGTGGAGATTTATTATCTTTAATTTTGAGTGTTTTTTTTTTTATACCAATTAAAAGCAAATCGCGCGAAGCGCGTTTTAGTTTTTCTAAATTGAATATCAACATTCAAGGACTAGTACGCATTACGTAGACGGGTTAGTATGGGCTAGTTTGCATATTTTTGGTTAGTTTCGTTACAGTTCGTTTTACTAGGTTTACCTAAGTGTACTGGTTGACAACAAATCGCGCGTTTGTTTTTCTAAATTCAATATTAACATTCAAGGACTGGCACGCATCACGTGGACGGGTTAGTTTGAGTTAGTTTGCACATTTTTGGTTAGTTTCATTACAGTCTGTTTAATACTGGTTATAAGCGCACTGGTTAATTGCAAACCGCGCGAAGCACGTTTTTGTTTTTCTAAATTCAATATTAACATTCAAGGACTAGTACGCATTACGTGGAAAAGTTAATTTCGGTTAGTTTGCATATAGAAAATAATATTATGTACTCATGATTATGACCCCAGGAGATTTATTAATGCTAGACATAAAACTAATGTTATTCCTTATGACGTGTCTCATAATGGAATTAAGTGTGATAATGGCGCTGATATAGCCAATCTCTTTGCTGAATTTTTGCATCCATGTGCTGTGATAATAACTGTGATTTTCCTAGTCAATGCTAAACTAATAATATTAATGTATCAAAGGTAAAGGTTGATCTTAAAATCTCGGAAGTTTATATCAATAGTTGACCACATTGGATTGCGGTAAGGGTCCTGGGCCGGATGGAATACTCCCTAGTTTACTTAGAAATTGTAGTTTTGTTCTTGCTAGACCCCTATTTCTAATTTTCAATGTCTCACTGAATACCGGCTATTTACCATTCTGTTGGAAAAACAGTTTTATAGTTCTTATTTATAAGTCTGTCCACAGATCAGAAGTAAAAAACTACAGACCTGTTAGTATCTTGAAAACAATACAATACCCAAATTGTTCGAGAACATTATAACCAAGCATCTGCCTGGTGGTTTAATCAACCAGTTTGGGTTTCAGTCTGGAAGGTCCACTGAAATTGACCTGCCTTCGCATGTTGACTTTCTGTCAGAGACCTTGGAGAATGGCGGTGAGGTGCACTCTGACTACACTGACTTTTCCAAGGCTTTTTACAGGTCTATCATGGGGTTCTATTATCTAAACTTGAGACGGCGGGCATCAGCGGAACCTTGTTGAAGTGGTTTGGAAGTTATCTACAAGACCGGTGTCCGGTGTCAGATCGTTAGGGTTCATAATTTTAATTCCAAAGTCATTAGGGTCACATCAGGTGTACTCAAAGGGTCACACGTGGGCACATTACTATTTAACTTATTTATTAACGATATTCAGAACTGTTTTAAATTTTCGAAATTCCTTTTATTTGCTGATGATCATAAGATATTTCTTAGAGTTGACTCTCATCATGATTGTGAACTCATTCAGTCAGATTTGAACAACCTTGTGAGATGGTGTTAGCAGAATGGCATGGCGCTCAACACCTCCAAGTATCATTTGATGTCATTTTCCAGATCTCGAGACCCTTTGCTTTAACAGTATGTAATTGATGCTAGTATCTTGGATCATGTGTACACTATACTGGATCTGGGTATTTTTTCTGATCAGTCACTTACATTTATCCCGCACATAACATTTATTGAAATCCAAAGCACTTAAGATGCTGGGATTTTTGAAGCGATCTTTGATTCACTTTCAAAATGTACCTATCTGCTCTAAAGTAACTATATTGCTCATTCGTGAGATCCCTAGAGTATGCATCCTCAGTCTGGAATCCTTTTTATGCAACTCATGTAAATGCCTTGGAAAATATTCAACAGAAATTTCTTAGATATGCAGCATCAAGGGTCGCCAATGGTTATGCAATGACTTATCCTGAGCTTCAGACTGTCTTGGGACTATCCTCGCTGAAGGCTCGCTGTGAACAACATGACTTGAAGCAGATTGTCTAATTTATACTCAAATGAGTTGGACTTTTTTTCTTCCTCCTCCATTTTTTATAGGGATTTGTAGGCAACTGTGATCTGAATGTAAGCTAATTGTAGCTTGTAGATTCTCTTGCCCACTGCTCTTTTGGTGACCTATTAGCGCCATTTTGGCATATTCAATATGCGCGTTCCAGGTGATTTCTGCATCCAGGATAATCCCTAGGTATTTGACTTTCATTTCCTGGAAGAATTGTATTTGCTTTCCCAAGAAAGTGGGAGAGACTAGATCGTCCAGTTTTCTTCTTTTCGCGGAGGGGACCATTGCTGCTTCTCAGGGTTGACACTCAGGTTTGCCCTTTTGACCCATTCCGCCACAATTTAAAGTGCTCTTTGCATTTGCGCAGAAGTGATTTGTAAACGTTTCCCCATGACTATATTGCTCCTACATCATCTGAGTATGAATGTTTCTGCTAACAAGTTCTACTAAGAGTACGTCTACAACCAGGTCCCACAGTAAGGGAGATAGGACCCCACCCTGTGGGCAGCCTTTTGATACTGACATCTTCCCTGTGTCATTATCAAGAGTAGCTTGAGCTTGTCTGCCACGAAGCATGTTATCAATCCATCTGCTGATGGTGTGTGTGGACAAAGCAGTGCTCATAGATTCAAACGTGGTTCGGTCAAAAGCCCCTTCTATGTCGAGGAATGCTGCAAGGGCTACCTCTTTTTTATCATTTGCATGCTCTATTCTTGCCACCAGTTGGTGTAAGACTGTTAAGCAAGATTCACCCACTTGATAGGCATATTGGTTTTGGTCTAGTGACCTTTCTTTAAGAAAAATATCCCTGATATGTTTATCAATGATTTTCCATTGTTACTGTGATTAGTAATAAAAATTCCTACTTTATGATTTTTTTTTCTGAAACATTTGAGACCTTAAAATAAAACCAAGAGCTACAAATATCAATATTGTCTATTGTACACCTTAAATAATGTAAAACGCACTATATTCCTATCGACTTTTTCTATAAAGGCCAATTTGTAGATATAGAGAGTTAAATATAAGGACAATAATTTGAGATAAAAATTATCAAAGCTGAAATAAAGAAATTTGGCAGTATTTTTCCATAATAAAATAATTTTTTTTGTTGCTTTGTGTAAAAAGATTCACTCTATATACAACAGATATTTACAAAAAACGCAGTTTTGATATAATTTATTAAACTGAGCAATTTAAAGAGTATGTTTTTTTTTTTGTGTCCAAATAATTTTCTATTCAATTGACATGTCAGTAAAAACATAAACAATGAAAATTGATTCTATTTACAATCAAATATATGTAATGTTGACATGGTAAGTATGTATCACATTACCTGATCAATTCCTGTTCTCACTTCCAAAAAAAATTAAATGTCAAAACTTGTAGGGAAATTAATTGAAATTATGACGATTGTAAATAAAATATGTCCTATACAAATACACTCAAGAAGTTTAACTCCTGTCTCGATATTATAAGTAACAAAAACTGTTACCTATAAAATAATATGACATTCCTTTCAATAAATAAATGCGTTTTACTAAAAACAAAAAGTAGATAGAAAGAATAAGCTGTGTAAAAAGTATGGCAAACATTTAGTTCCTAAACAATGTTATATAAAAATAATTTCCAAATACATTTTGCCCACATCAACAATAATATAAAGTTACTACTGCTAAAATATTGGTTTGTTCAAATACTAAATTGTAGATGCATTTTTAATGCTATTCTTTGTTTTGGTCCTCCTCATCGTCTTCCCAATCGGCCATTAATAATTTGTTTACAGTATTAGCAGCTGGAAAAAATTAATTTCATTAAATTATTTCCATTTGTATCAATGTGTCACTTATTTAATGATTCATTCCATTAATCAACTACTGCAGGCAAATTTAATATACCTTTTTCTCAAGTACCTATTGTCCGTAGTTTTTAATCTGACACTTTCCGTATGAGGAGCGAGGGGGTGAAGCATTATGGCAAAAGCAGGTGTGACGACAAGTGACCATTGGCGTTCTAATGTAGGATGCCACCAGCTCACATTCTTTTCGAGTATCAGATTAAAATCGACGGACTTTAAAGCGATGTATTTTTTGTTCTAAATGAATGATTAGTGAATTGTAAGCATGTGCTCAGAGGATTTTCTTCTTTTTTTAGTAGGAAATTCGATTTTTCACAAACAAGTTAGTGGTGGTATACAGGATTCTCCACCCAAAACTCCCCAGGCCTGTATTTCCTTCAACTACTTCAATAAAGCCTGAGATAAAGCTAAACTGTAGCAGGAATGTTTTTAGTATGTATAGAAACTCGTTTCCAATAGATTTTTTTTCTGAAACCTATTTGCAATAAGGAAGAATGTTCCCTAGTTTAACAGCAAAAAAATCTGCAACAGAAACTTTCCACTCAGTGAGGCATCCATTTTGTAGGAGCTCTTAAGCCGGAATCCCACAGCGGCCTTGGCTCGCCAAGCCACGCTTCATGGGATAGCGGCTTTAAAAATCTAACTCTACTAGTTATCATAAATGTTGGTTCCTGTTTCTTGGCTTATTATTTTGTCCTTTTGGCACCCTGCAATCAATGAATTATCAATCTCCTTAAAATCTAGATTTCCAAATGCATGGACATTTTATCATTGCTCTAGGGTACCATTAAAATCGAGCCCATTGATAATGAAATCTGTGAGGGCTCTTGACATCATCAACCACTTGAAAGAAATATTCTACACTGGTGCGATTTGAATTCTTCACAAAAAAACTTAGTAGGTACATATAAACACAGGTATAAATTACACTTAAAAAAATGAAATGAAAAAGCAAAAAATAGAAAATACCAAACAAACTAACCATTTATAGAAGCACGTTCTTGACTGTCTTGGTCCTGATTCTCAGGTTCTTGACTGTCTTGGTCCTGACTCTCAGGTTCTTGAGGGTGATTACTCTGTTGACTGTCAGTGTCCTCCCAGTCATCTAAAATCGCCTTGTTAATAATGTCCTTTCGACCTGTCTGGCTGGAACTTTGCTGAGATCTCTGGCTGGAACTTTGCTGCGACTCGTCAGTAAAATCTTCAAAGCTCTGCTGAATATTATCATTCGAATCGTTAACCTCGTTTTCTCCTGGTTGATTAAGCGAATTACTAGTTTCGTTCGTTTTATCATTTTCAGCAGCATTTTCTTCTGCTAATTGATTCTCATCTGCAGCAATCTCGAAATTCTCTTCTAAGGGTTGTGTTTCTGATTCATTATTCATTTCCTCAAGAGCTTCTTCTTGATTATTCTCATCATTAGCAACTTCAGCAGTAGACGGGCTGTGACAAATTTCTTGATTGTCAACTTCATCTACATTTTCTACGAATTCTTTAGCTTCAGCATCTTCTACTTCCATAAGTTCCTCGCGGTCTTCACTATGGGAAGCGAAATTTTTTGGATCATTCATAACAAGTTCACCATCTGATGGTGTAGGTTCTGCGGTGGCTTCTTTTGAGACATCTGCTGCTGCATGGAAAATATTTTAGGTATATTTAAATATAAAATGTTACTTTTTGGTTGCAAATTCCAGAGAATAACAATATGTATAACTAATGCGAGATTCAAAATTACTTCGATATAGATATTTCATATTATCATTTGTTACGTGGAACAATTCTTAAATAACAATTTATCATTATAAATAATAGTAAATCCCAAGTTTGCATCACAGAAATATTAACATAGCCACAGTTCACTAATTCAATGTCTCAGAGATTTGTTATAAGCAGAGTTATAAGCAGTTAATTTTCCTCTTGTCTTCATCAGTCATTACATAAATATAAATATTCATGTAATACTTGTCTGTTCTGATGTATTTATTCTATATTTTGAAATAATAAAGGTGCATAGTGTAATTAAATTTTTATAATAAAAAAAACATTACCTTGTAGTTCTTCAATTTCTTCGTTGTTATTTGGTTGATCCCCAATCATTGATGCCTCAGTTTCTTCCTGCAAAATACCAGTAATACTTAAATCATAGAAGATTAGCAGTTTAATACTTTCTGAGGACACTTCTGCCATTCTGATAACACTGACCTACCTTTTCATTTTCTCTATCTTGTGACTCAATTTCACTTGTGTCCATTGGTTCATCTTGTATTGACGAATCAGTAGCATCTTGAGCTTGTTCTTCATTCTTTTCGAGAGTTTCACTTGAGGTATCACATGGTGGTTCATCTTCCCCTTCTGGCAATGGGGTATCTTTTTCAAACTGTGCCGTTTCTTTTACTAAAACCAGATTCAGTTGTTTTCCAATAAATATACTTAGGTCTCTTTTTAGATTCCATATTTTTCAATGGAAAATAATACAATAAGCATTACACAAATTCTTACCTTCTGTTATCTCAATAGGATGCGAACCCTCAATTTCCTTCCTTATTGAGTCGATTGTCTCGATTTGATTTGATGTTCGAGTTGTCGTACTATCGTTAACTAAAAGTTGACCACCAGCTGTTGTCGTTATAGCTGTCCCGTTACGAATTTCTAGCATACCATCAGAGTTTACAAGTATATTTCCCTGTGAAGTTATAAATTGTCCTTCCTGTCCTTCCACAGGATGACTATAAAGCACAACAATATTCGAATTATCTGATGGTCCATGGGCTTGTTGGTCCTGATAATCGTCTGTTAAAACCATCACTAATTCATCTGTAGAATTAGCTGCTGCTGCTTGTAGAATTCCCTCATTGCCAGCCAAATTGTGCGGCAAAATAAAATCTCTGTTGCCAGATTGACCTTGAGGCGGTTGCAGTATGTACTGTTGATTGTCATCGAGAACAACAATATCAACAATGCCTAAGTCTGTGGTCAACTGGCTACTGGTGATATTGCTTATAGTAGTACCCGTGGTGGTAGTAACAGCTACAGCAGTCTCTGGAGCAGTAGATGATGATGTAATAGTTGCTTTTTTAGTTACTATTCTCTTTGGGGAGTTTTCTTCCTGTCTTGGTACTTTTACATTGGAAATTATTTTCACCTGAAACAAAAATTGATTTTTAGAATCATAGAAGTAACATTTATTTAAATTATTTCTAGCTTCAATTTCATTTACTTACTTTATCTTTCAAGTGTTTATCCTCCATGCTAATCTCTTCAACAAACTCTACTTTAGAATTTTTTTTTAACATTTCAGAAAGCTCTTCAGCCTGACTCTTTTCTGCTTCTGCTTCTTTTTCTACTTCCTCCTCGTAATCCAAACCGTCCTCTTCCTCATTTTCTACATCCATAAATTCTTGCAAACTAGTGATACCATCTCTGGCGGCTTGTTTTATATGCTGGGCCCTAACGTGAGTGAATAATGTTACTGGAGATTGAAGTTTTTTCTTGCAGTAAGTGCATTCGAATATTGTACCTGACATAAGAGAATTGTTCAAATACTGAATTGGATATTATTAGTTTTTTACTTACAAACTTTATTGGTATGCCTGGATATGTGCTGATGATTCGAGAGTTCTTTTTTTGATAGGAAACCAAGCTGACAACCTGGACATTGTATGTTGTCTTTTGAATGAATTTTCATATGTTCCTTAAGACGTTCATTAGTAACAGCTGCAAAGGCAAACAGGTAAAATTCTATTACAAAATAAATATTAATGATTTATACCGATAAATGGACACTTGCTACATTTAGGAAAAACAACATCCCTGGGCGGTTTCAAGCCATGTTTGGTGTACAAATGATATGTCATATGATTTTCTTTCACACACTTTTTGCCGCAATATTTGCAAAGGGTTGCATCGAATTCCATGTGATGCTGATCGGCCATATGTTTGCGGAAAAGATAATACAGCACGAATTCGGCACAGTCGCGATCTTGGCCCACGCATTCCATGCATGTCCAAGGACCTTCTTCACTAGAAGCTGAAAAAATCGGCATTTTTTGTTTTTTGGGTTTTGCAGCTTCTCTTAACGGAGGTTTTTTTACTGATACCGGCTCTTTTTTTATTTCTTTAGGAGCTGGGGATGATGGTGCGGGTGGTGACTCCTAAAATTAAAAATAATATTTGTTTTGTTTTCTTATAAATAAATTACTTGCTTACCTTTGGAGGTTTTACTTTCTCCTTTGCCTGGACTTTATTTGGGGATGGATCTGCTTTTGTTATTTTTAGTTTAATATTTCTCTTCTTGTTAACCAAATCTGGATACTTCTTCAATATTTCTGTCACAATTTTTTTGTGGTCTACTTCATTGGGGTTACTCGTTGTAATGTTTATGATGGTTTCTTCTTCTTCTCTTGTTATTTTTATCCTAGGGAAAAATGTAATAAACTTTTTGGTAATTTGAAGAAAAAAAAATGCAAAACAAACCTTTTAGGTGAAGTTAAAACTTTTTGCTCAGCTTTACGTTTGACTGCAGGAGTCTCAACGGCAGGTTCCTCTAACTGTGCAACTTCAACTTTTGCTTCTTTTTCAGGAACTGGTTCTTCGACTATCGAACGAGCGCGTTTACGATTCGAATATTGCGTAGGTTTAGGTTCAGCTATATCTGAAATAAAGTATTCAAGTATTTAAGGTCATTCCTTGTCAATTCAATAATGTCAGACAACTTATATTCACTTAACTATGAGAAATGAGCTTAAATATTGTATTTTGCTAACATAGTCAATCTTTTATAGTTAAAACAATACACTAACCTGGCTTATGATCATCTTCCTTGGTCCACAAGGGTTTACTAGTCAATGAAACATCTTCAAAAGTTGGGTACAAGTTAGGAATTGGTGTCAACTCCTCTTCAGGCCATTCAAATCTTGTTGGTTTTGGTACATTAGGTGTCTGTAAAAAAAGTTTAATAAGAGCTTGACAACTGCAACTACAGACAACCTATTGTTGTCAGTCCATAACTTCTCATCTCACTCTTACATTATTGTGATGTATTTACTTACAGTAACAGTTTTGCGTTCCGTTAATGAATGTTCACGTTTCCACTTATTTGAATATGTCCCAGATGCAGGATGTGTTTGCATAACACTTGGGGGATTCCTGTTTTTCCATACTGGCACCTTTTTCCCAGGCAAAGCAGCTGGTAAATCGTTCACTACAGGTGCAGGTGCTATTTTAGCTTGTTTCTTAGCTAATCAAAAAAAAAAAACTTATTAGCCATTGGTTTGCAAAAAATTTTAAAAATGTGTTACGTTTATTATCTCTCCAAGAACTTTTCTCAACTTCTTTAGCCTTCGTGTTGCTGCTGCTGCGTGCATTGAGTGAATTCAGTTTACTGATGGGTGCCAATTGAGCCTCCAATAGTTTACTCAATACTGAAATACTCATAGTATCCGCAGCTTTCATAAGTTTATCGTAGATACTCGGATGAAATTCTAACATGCCAGTGTACATAAAATTGACAATAGGAACCATAACGTCCGCTTGTAATTCGGAGGGCATTAGAATGGCATTTTCTTCTGGTGCCGGGCAATTTTGTTCCAAAAAAGTAAAGTATTCGGTGCATGCGTTCATTACCAGTCTGTGGACTTTTAGTTGGACGTTGCCGTCAAACTGAAGGGTCAAGTCACAGAAGTCTGTTTTGGAAAAAAACAACTGGAGACGTTGTAGGAAGTAGATACCCCAGTTGTCTACTCGGACTTGTTTGCTTGTCTCGACCATTTTTGGTTAAGGTTTTTCTTGTTATGGTTTTTAAGTTAGTCTGAAAAGAAATGATATTGTCAAAATATAAAGAGTAAAATTATACTTGGTTTCCTCTTTAAATTGGTTTCAAAATCGGTAGAGGAGTTATAAAAATATCAAAAAACAAGAAAGGACATACCACAATCTCATTTTATTAGAAATATAAATTATTAAAATAATATTAGTATGCTTTGTAGTCCCTAATAAAGCATAGTTTCAGTAACTAAGTAGCCAAGTAGGTATTCTATACTTCTACCATTTTTCAAAAAAATAACGTTATTTTTTTTTTTGTCCAAAAGTAATCCACTTAAAGTATAACAAAAATAGGCATTTAGCAAAACAAGGATATCATAGGGCATACAGAAAGCGTCAAACACCAACTGAAAATTCATACTTTTGTGAATATGTTTTTTGTTCTTAATTTATTTAATTATTTCTTACTGAAGTTTTAGTCTAAGGGCAATTTTGGGTTATTATGCAAGTTGCTCAGGGATTGTGAATGGACCCGAGTAGGTACTGGCAAACACTAATGTGATGATGGAGTGGATATGTTCCACAAACAGCTGAATGCATGCTTAGACTAGGGTTACCAGAGGTCCGGATTCCCTTTTCAGGAAAAAAATGGCTATATGTCACTAGAATCAGTGAGCAAGTAACAGATTCTGAGCTCTTTAAACATGTCCATTAGAACTTTGCGCAGGAGTAGATGAGGTCAGCGTGAAACAATTGGTATTCAGACAGGGTATGAAATCCTTTAACATAGGTGTGGATGAAAAGTATTTTGCTACAGTTAATAGTTGTGACTTCTGGTTCTGGCCATCAGGCGTGGCCTTTAGAGAATTTGATTTCATGCTTCCTCGGGTCAATAGATACCAGGGTAACAACCAAAGGCCAAATTTTCCCACCTCTACAACCAAATTAAAATTCTATTATCAAAATTTCAGAGGGCTTAAAACTAAGCTTGACGAGCTAATGCGAAATGTCAACCTAGAGGAGTTAGATGTAATCTTATAATCACTGAAACATTCCTTGACTCAAATATTAGTACAAGTGAGTTGGGTTTACCTACTTATTTAATATAAGTATAGGTGTGACCATTCAGAGAAGACAAGTGCACACAAATCACATGGTGGAGTGCTTATTACCATCAGAAAGGAGTTCTTATGAAGGGTGATTATCAACTCCAATAAATAACATAGAACATATTTTTATTGTTATCAACATTAAAGATACAAAGTGTATAATAGGAAATGCATACATTCCTCCGGAAAGCCCTCTGGAACTCTATGATAATTACTGTATTCAGTTGCAATCGTACTAAGTCAATTTTTGGGATCTGGAAATGTTAGTGTTGTCTTGTCTGGGGATTTCAATCGCCTCAAAGTAAGGTGGAGTAATAATCCATATGGTCCCAGTTTTCGGGGAAGTGAGGAGACTCGAGTGTTATCAGACTTTCAATTTACATCAGTTAAATAACATTCCCAATGCTTTTGGTAATTTTTTGGATCTGGTGTGCTGTAACAAAGACCTGTCTGTGAAAGTATGTTCAAATCCAATATTACAGATTGATGTATCACATCCCGCACTCGAGTTTGAGTAAGATGTGAATGTGAGTAACAATGACAATGTTTTTAATGCATATAATTACAGTTATTATAATTATAGATTGGCAAGTTATGTAGAAATTAATGAAGGCTTATCTTTGACTGATTGGGATCAGATATTGTCACTGAGCAGCATAAATGAGTGTGTTGATGCTTTTTATAATGTTTTATATTATTTTATTGACTTGTATACTCCAATATGTCAGCATAAAAGACCCAAATTTCCAAAATGGATGGATAATTCACTGAAGGGACTAATATTAGAAAAAAAATCAGCTCATGAAAAATTTAAATCCTCAGGCTCAGTTGAAAATTCTGGTAGGTTCTGAGAGCTAAGGACAGAATGTAGTGCATACTCAAAAATCTGTCATGAAAACTTTATTAATAATATCGAATATGATGTCCAAGACCGAGAAGGATTCGGGAGACACATTAATTCAAAAAAAAAATCGCAATTTGCCTGAAAACATGGCATTTAACGATATGGAGTCAAATGACCCACATGAAGTATGCGAGTTTTTTGAAAACCATTTTTCTTCTGTTTATGTTAACCATGAACTTTTCAACATTCTGTGGATATGGGAACCTGTCAGATTTTAATCATTGATGTTTTTAATAAAATTACAAGCCCATAGAACTCATTGGGTAGTGGCCCAGATGGCATATCTATTGACTTTTTAAAACAGTGTAAATTTGTTATTTCTGACGTACTATTATGCAGAATTTTTAACGGATCAATATTGTGTGGTTTTTTTCCGGATCTCTGGAAGAGGAGCTATGTTACTCCGATCTTTAAAGATAAGGAAAGGAGTGATGTTAAAAATTATAGAGTGATGTCAAGGACCTCCATAGTTCCGAAGGTTTTTGAGGCTATAGAAACAGATAAAATGTATCCCTTATTTCAAAATATAATTACACCAGAACAACATGGTTTCATGAAACAAAAATCTACTATAACAAATCTACTGATCTATCAAAATTCTCTTTCGGAGGCCTTGTAAAGGCGGTATCAGGTTGACTCTATTTATACAGACTTTTCCAAGGCATTTGACAAGGTGGACATAAATATTTTAATTAAAAAGCTGGAAGCCTTTGGGATTTGTGGGGACCTCTTGAAGTAGTGCGCTAGTATGCTTACCAATAGGGAACAAGTGGTTGATATTCAGAATATTATGTCAAGAGTCATCTAAGTTACTTCTGGTGTACCCCAAAGGGGTTATCTATTATAGCCTCTGTTTTTTGGCTGCTTTGTTAATGACGCGAAAGAGATGTTTTGTTTCTGGCAGATGATTTAAAAGTATTTAGAATAGTTAAAAATCTGGTTCCCTTAATAATTTGACATTAAATACTGAAAAATGTAAAGTGATCTCCTTCTTTAGAACAGAAAAACCGATTCAATTTCCTTATTCTATTAAGGGCAATACTTTGGAAAAGGTTAGTTTAATAAGGAACTTGGGGGTGTGGTTTGATATGGAATTAACCCGAGAATTAACCTTTATCGACCATATTGACTTGATTGCAAGCAGGGCAAGAAGAATGTTGGGTTTTGTGCAAGGCCGTGGCTAAAGTAACAGAGGTGTTACTATAATTATTTTTTAAAGTAACATCAGTTCAATGACGTCACTGATGACAACGTTACTTTTAATAGAGGTTATAGTAACAGAGGTGTTCTCTACACCATTTCCAAATCCAAGCGGCAGTAAATGACATTGAAATAACCTAAATCATAAACAAACACCAGCCTTCGTATTAGTTGAAACGCCCTACCTGGACCAGTGCACATGCACGTAGGACATTTGAAAGGTTGTAATGAAAATGACCAGTTTGTCATTTACTGCCGCTTGGATTTGGAAATGGTGTAATTATTTTCTTGAAGTAACGTCAATATAGCAATATGTAGATAGGTACTTTTAGCAGTGTAAATTCACCTTTAGAGAAATAAAACGGCTCGGCGTCAGTTGTCAATCGGCTGCCTAATTAGGCGGCGGGATTTCGGGGAATCACCTATTTACATTTTTTTCCGAGTGTTAATGGTTATGTTCGCAGTTTACAAATCGTTTTAAAACGTTTCGCTTTTCGAAATGCCGAAACGCAAATATATTTATTCGGATGAAATGTTCCGGTTGTATCTTTCCTTTGAGGAAAGAAAGACAACTAACGAGGTAATCAAACACAGAAAATACAAACACAAAATACAATCAATCACATAAGCATTCCGGCTCCTTTAAAACTCTCAGGGTCGATTTCTCAATAGCAAGTTACCTCCGGCTTGGTTCTAACTTTTTTAACTCCAGGGTAAACTAAACGTGTCCAGTTGCAATGTTTACCCTGGAGTTATGCTTAACCCGGGGAAGACTTTCTATTGAGAAACCGGCTCTTAAATGAGATGTTTTTGGGCGTGGCACCAAAAAAAAAATGCCTCACGCGTGGCGCCTATGTCGAGCTTTCCTTGGCGCCTGGATTTTCCTGCGCGGAGAAGTCTTCATCTAGTAACCCTAGCTTAGACTTATCCCAGGACTTATCCATTCCCAAATATGAAATAACAGAGAACAGATGCACTCATAGGTATCATACCTTGAAGAGGGAAATTAAGATTTGAACCAAGAAATACTATCTTGAACACAAAAAAAAAAAGGTTGAAGAAAGTTTGAAGTTTGATCCAAACACTTTCTGGCTGTTTGTGTGTGGTAAGTCAGACCATGGTGAGATACCACGGGAAATGGTGCTTGACGATGACAGGATCGCTGACTCTGTGGGTATAACAAATTGCTGAACCCAAGTTGACCACACACTTTTTACCTTTTCCTGCATCTTGGATCATGACATTCTTGACAGTATCAAAATACTTTAAAGAATATCAAATGGGAACCATTATATGTTTATAAATCTAGTATTTACCAATGGGTGCTGAGAGGCATCTGGATATTTTCAATGTTAGCATTAATTAGCTGGGAAAATTTCTAAGCTGCATCAAGAATCTTTAGGAATTGTTATGTTCATCTTTTTATTGTCATTGGTTTTATTATTATTAAGTACTTTTAAGTCATAGTTTAATGCCCTCTAGCCATCCATATCTGTTTATTATAATATATGTTCACTGTTTTATTTTTCTGTATTGTCTCTCTGATTTTATCTTATTTTTTGTTTTGTATTGTTTATATTAACAGTATTAAGACCTATTGTTGTTATTGAGCCTTTGGATATGTGTGAACTTCTACATGTAAGTAATTACCTGCCTCAGGTTAAGTGAATCGAATAAATAAATATGTAAATAAATAAATGTTTAGTCTTGAGAATTTTTGTTTCCTACAATTTACAGTGAAACTTCCAAAATCTAAGTAAGTACCTCCCTAAAATCATGTACCTAACATTTAACCACAGTAAAATCGGTTGTGTTGTGGAATCAACCACTTAGGTTTTAAAGCAGAGTAGCAGAGATAAGTTTTACAGCCTGTCAAAGTTGCAAAAAAGTCAATTTTCAACTGTCAATATTTCCAAAACAGTTGAACTAAGGTATAGGGTATATCTATATCACACGAAATCTACTCAGAATTTTACTTAGAATCCAAATATTCAATAAAATACAAGGTATTCCATTTAAAATAAGAAAGTTGAACCACAACCAGCACCAGCGTTTCTGAAACACCCTGTAGGTATATGTGAAAGTGAGTTTTAGAAAAAAGAAACCTCGAAAAAAATTAATTTCAACTATAAAACTTTTATTTGGGCCACTTCTTTCTAAAAAGTAAAATGTCAAAGACAAAGGGTAGAGGGGGATAACATTTATAACCAATAACCCTGTACAGGGTGGTCTAAATTGGAAACTTCCGATGGAAACACCCTTTATTTTTAGAGATAGAAAAAATAGACCTACCACTCTGATCCTCAAATTTCATGGAATCTTGATTGGTGCAAACCGCATTTTGATTTCTTCAACCGTTTAGCAGCTAGAGGGCGATTCCTGATTTTGAGCAATACTGTGATATAAAAATGCGGTTTGCAGCAATCATGATTTCATGAAATTTGAGGCTCAGAGTGAGGGGATCCATTTTTTTCTATCTCTAAAAATGAAGGGTGTTTCCATAAGAAAGTGTCCAATTTGGACCACCCTGTACATACATTCAGTGACGGACTGGCCTACCGGGTAACCGGGCAAAATCCCGGTGGGCCAGGTGACGTCTTCGACAGGTGGGCCACTCGAATATTTATGAGAATTTCATACATCTGTCAAAACTGGTATTCCTACAATAAATTGACAGGTTTTGATTGTTGATTTGATCCAATCAGATTTGAATTACGCGATAATTTGCACTAGTGCAAATTATCAGATAATTGCATAGTAACTGGTGCGAAAACTGGTGTTTTGACATTTTTTGACAAAAAATTTAAATTTTTGATTTATAAAATTGTCTCATTAAATACAACTCGTGCAATGGAAATATATTTATAATTTTCGACAAATTTGCACTCATGCGTTTTTAACTGAAAAAGGCACTCGTGCACTACGTGCACTCGTGCAAATTTCCCAAAAATTATCAATAATAAATTGAAATATCTCACTTCCCACGCCATTGATCAACAATTCGTACGTTATTTCGCGTAATCCACCGTCCTCATAAAAAATCAACTGTCATATCAATATCAACTCCCTTCTGCTCTGAAAAGGTTCAAGCCGAAGTCGCGTAGGAATCGCCCCCCGCATATCAGTGAATTTGAATTCCACTGACGTACCCGTTGTCGTTGTTGATTTTTAGAAATACAGAGACATGGTAATTAGTGAATTTGTAAAAAAAGCCACATCCTCACATCATTTGAAAATCTCGATCTCCACCTCCCTCGCTATTACTATTTTTTTATTTTTTACACCCTAGATGTCCGAAAACGGAAAGGTAAAAAAGAGGAAGTTATATAAAATGGGCACAGAATAAAGAGCGATCACGAGAAAACGACAATTATTAGAAGTTGCAGCATCCAGCCAACAACTAACTTCATTTTTTTTTGAATACTAAAATAAATACAAATTTGTCAACCGAGGGAAGTTTCGAGGATGCTTCTGCATGTTCTACTTCTACAGAGAATAGGGATATTAGAAACAGAACTATCCCCGACTGCAAAAAATGACCCACTGTTAAAAGCAGCATCAAGCAGTAGTAATGCTGGGTCCAGACCAAGCAGACAAAAAGTAAACACTATTTCGAGACAAAAACGCGACAAAAATGTTGTTATTGAGACGAGACAAAATTGAGACAAACTGTCGACACCACAAAGACAAAAATGTGCAACGAAATTTAGTTGTTGGTTGATGCGAATCAGTTGCTTAACACTCCTGACGGAGCTAGCGTTGTATGACGTCGATTTAGCGTATATTTGGTGTTAGGTTAGGGTGCCGTATTGGAAACCCAAAAATATATATTTAGAACGGATAGTATAATTAACGTCCCCGGAACCACCCGAGACACAGGTTACTACATGCAGATTGCAGCATATCAAGGTGTCTTTCTGAGCGCACACCCACATTTTTGGTGCCGTTTTCGACATAGTGGCTATGACGGCAAATGCCGCGGGTGTCATTGAATGTGTTTAACCATGTGGCGTTTCCAAAAAGAAAATTTAAAAAATGGAGATTTATTGTCAGCAGTCAGCTGTTATATCTTTCATCTTCATCCAATGTTGGAGAAATTAAACGGAAACCTTTTTCGGGTGAGACCCAGCTTGTAAAAGCGAAAAGGGTCTACCATAAATAAACTGTAACTTAGTTCAGTTACGTGAGGATGATATTGGAATAAGTGGTGAGATTCGCTCAAGCGTTAAGAATTTTCTAAGAATGTCCACCGAAAATTTCGAGAATCTAATATGCCTTGTTAGTACTGCAGTTGCCAAAGACATACTAACTTCAGAAATGCTATAGGTATAACAGAAAGGTTAGCAATCACTTTAAGATTGACACTGGTCTCCTACTTTTGTCACCACACCCGTCCACACTGCGCCGACAACTTTTAAAATACATAGAAAAATCAGAGTCTCTTTTATCTTTACCGACTCACGGCGGGACTTTCAAAAGTCTCGGAAAAAGACAAAGCTGTTGCAGAAATGTATCGGATTTGTGTCGCGAGGCATGAATGTCTAAAGGCTTTTTTTTTTCGTGGAAACAGTTTTAAAACCCGTTTTAAAACAGTTTCAGCTCTAACGTCACTATTTTATGCACTACAATGCTAACAGACCTTAAAACAAATTCGACTTGATTCTTTGATGGTTGAAAACGAAAAGGCTTTTACATTGAGCCTTTGATTGAGCCTCAAATTCAATATTGTGTGTGCGGTGTTGTTGTCCATCATGACCAAAAATTTTCTTAGCCATACTTGCTGCAAGAGCTGTTAGAAACTAACATCTGTTTGAGTGTTTTGAAACTACAATTTCAAAACGTTTTGTCGCAAAAAAATGCCTTTAGTCTTATTGTTGTTTGGTCTGCTTGATCTGAACCCGGCATCTGGCATAACAATCTGCCCTGCCTTCAATACCAAAAAATCAAAAAAGGATTCAAGAAGACTCAATTGCCTGGACCATCTTCGACTTCGTTGAGAAAAGAATATGCTGTAGAGCAATCCGAATACATTTAGCCTCTAGCTCCAATTCTGAGATAATATTATGTATCCTGTTGTTATTTATGTTACCTACTCTTAATTTTTATGGTAATTTATATACAACTACAAACTACATAATGCATCGGTAAATAGCAACAAAATATAGACAGGTAGGTGGAGTAAACCTCAAGTACCTAGCAGTTCTAGCCCTCTGTGGTACCTATTTTTTTTATGCCTATTATCAAAATTGTTTTTATTGAATGGGGTTTGGGATGGGTGGGCCACTTCACTATTTGCCCGGTGGGCCAAATGACCCCCAGTCTGACACTGCATACATTTATTATTTGCATTATTCTCAGCATTATTATTAGTGACATAAAAAATGGAGCTAGCCATGCAAATTATTGCAAATAGTGATTTCACTGATTTCAAGACAATGAATCACACATAATGAAACTACAATGAAATAATTATGGAGGCTTAAATTATTCTGAACTCCATTTCACCTTTAAAAGCTTATGATTAATAATAATTACTAGCTACACTATGCTTGGAAAGAACTGAGCTTTGAGCACTAAATCCATTATTAAAAGTTTGGTATTTTTTAGTTGAAGAAAAATTTTCTGGATTTCTGGACACAAAGCTGGAAGAGACAATGAAAGTACCTACCTACAAAAAGAAGCCCAAAGATGAAATTACCTGTTGCTGAGCTAATGCTTAATGAATATGTATATGGTAGAGAAGATTTTTGAGTGAATCAATATCCAGAAGAGAATAGATTTTTGAATAAAATCAATACACTAAACTTTTGTTGATGTACATAACCTAAAAGTGGGTGTATATTGAAGCATCAAATCATATTTTAGTCTATAGACTCTAGAGCAACAATTAAAAAGAATTGAATCTGAGTAACAGTAAATTAATTATAATATTTATAAAACATTAGATATTCAGACAATACGTTTTATTTTTTATTTTTATTACCAGTCTTCAAGCCATAATAACATTATCAATTTAAAATATAAAGTGGAATAGCTATACATTGAAAATCTACAATATGGCAAGTAAAATAAAGTTACGTAAACTTACTGGTTTCGCCAATATTTGCACAAATTTTCAATTAAATTTCACATAAGGAACTGTTGAAAAATAAAACAAAACTTCCCGAGGTGCGTAACAAAAATGCAAAACCGAAGCCATCTACATACCTGCATGAAGACACATCGAAAACCATAATAAACAATTAGCAAACCGGCGAAAAATAACACTCAAAATAATAATAAGAAAATTGGGCACATCATAAACAATACAATAGAAGCATTTTTCGCTTTTTATTTTAAATTTACTGACCTTTTATTTATTGGGAAAATGTTGGCTCCATCTTCTAATGCCAGCTTCAAACATATCGAACTGTTGTTTTGCAATTTCGACTGCAGAGCGCGCTTCGTCCAGTGTCCGCCAAATTTGAATTTTTTATTAAAATCAATTTCAATACCTGTATTTATACGTAAATCATTTGTAAGATGAACTAAAATAAATATATTATTAATGTCGATATACTTTTTATTATATAATAAGCTAATTAAACTATTTACATAGAATTGATTTGGAATTATTTAAATCCGGAACATGCGCAAAACGAATGCCAATAGAGGTCGCTGTATGCAGAATAATGGACGATTTATCGGCCATTGTGGATTAATTTTAGAACGGGCTCGGTGAGAACGGGCGACGCGTACGAAACAGTCAATAAAGACGCTGTGGCGTCACGTTAGAGGGCGCGGTGGCGTGGCACTAAAAAAATTATTACACAATCAAACGAACTTACCTGATGTTCGATTGTGATTATATGCTGTTGCACTTCGTCCGAATAGATCACTATATAACTTGTAGTACCTCTACTTTCTGCCAGATAGCGCCACAGAGTTTAAAGAAAAAAGGAACGCGCCCCACGCCTTGTCATGCTCCTTGACGGGTGACGCGTGAACTGTCAGTCTCTGTTTAAAGATATTTTTTCCAGTAAAGGCGGGGCATTGCACCCGCATTCAAAAATCCTCAAAAATCAGAATAATTATATGACATAAAGATATACCTACTCTTCATATGGGAGGGAAGGGTGGGGTGATCTATTCGGACGAAGTGCAACAGCATATAATCACAATCGAACATCAGGTAAGTTCGTTTGATTGTGTAATTATATGCATTTGCACTTCGTCCTCTAGATCACTATATAACTTGTAGCTGTTTAAAGCTCTTACTGGTAAAAATATTAATAAAGCAAAAAATTCAAATGTTAATACTTTAATGCATTTCATTTTTCCATATTTAACATTCATATTATGACTGAATACTGAATAAACAAATGTATAGATACATTAAGTATTTTGTTTTCTTAAAATAGCTTTTGCAAAACCAAATTCATTATAAAGGGGACGATGGTAAAATTGGGCAAAAGTCCCAGAATTTTCACTCCAACCAGCAGTGGTCCTAATAACATCAATAGAGATTCCTTGGCTCCATGCTTTTGATGTGGAAGCATGTCTAGTTGAATGAGGTTTAAACTGGTCAGTATTAACTCCGGCTCTCGTCATTGTTAACTTTACCCAATTTGATAAAGTTTGCTTGCTCAGTTGTCTTAATGGCTCCTTTTCAGTGATGAATAGAAATTCTAAGTTAGTTCGAAGAGTTGCTGTTCTTTCCAGATAATTCAGTAGTGTTGAAGCCACACAGAGTGATGGGTTTTCATCAAAAAATGGTATTGTCAAACAAGGCTGGCTTCTGCCTGGTTTAGAAGTTTTGATTATATCCGGAATAAGGATTTGTAATCCCTGTGGATTAACAATTATATTTTCTACTTTAATTAAAGAGAGGGTTTGTAACCTTTGGCCTGTTATGAGTGTAAGAAGCATTATTAGTTTCATGCCTAATTCTTTCAGTGACAGTGTTTCATTAGGGGTTTTTGTTTCTAAGTAATCCAGGACTATTTTAGGGTCCCACGTTATTTTGTATCTTGGTTTGCTTGGTCTTCTTTTTGAGATGCCCTTCAAAAATCTACAGATTATTAGGTTTCTACCTATATCACCTGGTAATACTAAAGCCAGTGCTGAACGACATGAATTAAAAGAACCATATTTCCACTTTTTAGTTTTCGACATGTGCTGTAAAAATTTTAGGACTTCAGTTACTTCTGCCGTATACGGGTTAACATTTGCTTCTTCGCAGAATTGCCACCATTCTTTATAAATAGAAATGTACTGTTTAAATGTGTTTTCTGATAGTGATTCCAGGCATGTTTGGATTGCTTCCTCAGGAATTTTCTTCAGTTGGAAGGCTTTCCCGACAAATGTGCTGCCACCAGGGTAAGTGTTGCTGCAAGTGGATGTTGAAGTCTAAAAGGAGAAGACAATAGATTAGGCTGTGGCTTAAACTTTATAGGCTGGCCTACTAGTAATTTTAGATAAAGTGGATACCAAGGTTGGGACTGCCAGTTAGGTAGGACAACTATGCCTTCAGCTTTATCTTGGACAATTTTGTTTAGTACTTTAAGTACTAATGAGAATGGAGGAAAAGCATACAAATATAGGTTTGTCCATGGCACAGTGAAGGCATCAATGGCCTCACATCCTGGGTCTTTTAGCCATGAAAAATATCTATCACATTTCGCATTTGCCCTAGAAGCAAATAGATCAACTTCTGGGTATCCATATTTAGCGACAATCATAGAAAAAGCTGATTGGGACAATTCCCACTCAGTTTCCTCTGACAATATTCGTGAACTTTCATCTGCTATGTTGTCTTTTGACTTTACATAAGAAGCTAAAAGCCATATATTTCGAGCCTCGCACCATTGCCATATTTCTTTAGTAATTTCATTCAATGCTGGATGTTGTACACTACCCATTTTATTTATATACGCAACTGCTGTGGTATTGTCCACTCTTAGCAGTATGCAGATTGATTTTCTGTCATTTACAAAACATTTGAGGGCGAAATAAATAGCTTTGAGTTCCAAAATGTTTATATGCAGCTCTACTTCATGACTGTTCCACCATCCATGAACTGTTTTTTCATTACATACTGCCCCCCAACCAGTTTTACTAGCATCAGTATAAATTTCAAATTGGGGTGTTTCTAACCTAATGTTGTTATATGCATGAAGCAAATTGATTTCCCACCAGTTCATGTCTCTTTTCAGATTATTGGATATTGAAACTACTTTATTATAATCCCCATTACACTTTTTCAAAGCTAAGTATTTTTCTCGCTCAATAGATTTAGTATACAGTCTTCCATATTTAACAGCTGGACAAATAGAAACTAATAAGCCAGCAATGTGAGCCAGGAATTTAATTTTACATTTAGAACTATTTTTCAACTTAGTAATTGAGTTCTTGATTTTGTTATATTTTTCTTGGGGAAGTTTTATAATCATGTTGTTTGTATCAAAAATAAATCCCAAAAATAAACAACTAGTTTTTGGGGTTAAATTGCATTTTTTAAAATTGACTAAGAAACCCAACGATTGTAATGTTTCTACAACAAACCTGGTATTTTTATTAGCTAATGAAATTGAGTCATGAATTAAAATCCAATCATCTATGTATGCAACACAAGATATTCCCTTGCCTCTAAAATATTTTAGAATTGGTCTAATTATTTTTGTAAATAAGTAAGGAGCAAATGAGATCCCAAATGGGAGAACTTGAAACTCATAATAGTTACCTTCAAAATGAAATCTTAAGAATTTTTTAAAGTTTTTATCAATTGGTATTGCAAAATAAGCATCCTTTAGATCAATTTTTGTTAGGTAGGAATTTTGTTCCAGCAGCTTACACACTGTTCGCCCATCCTCCATTTTAAAATGGGGTGGATTCAAGAAAACATTTAAGTTTTTTAAGTTAAGTATAAACCTGTATTTTCCATTTGGTTTGTCCACTAAAAAGTAAGACGAAATAAACTGACCTTCAGTAGCTGCACACAGTTTTACTGCACCTAGATTTATTAATGAATTAATTTCCAGTTTAAGCTTTGTTTTCTCACTGTTGGAGAAACGCCTGTTCACGATTCCATTTTGCTGTTGAGGGGTTGAATGGAAAGGAATTTTGAAACCTTTCAACCAGGAAATTACTGCTTCGGAAGCTCCCAGGGCTTTCCAATTTTGTATAAAATATGGCAACCTACCTACTGCTGGTAAGGGTAAACTACAACTTACTTTTATTTGTTCTTCCTCGGAAATTGTTTTTTCTTGTAATAAACACTTTGGTTGGAGTGTTGCTGATATTGCTGGCGATAGCGAGGTCTTTGCTGGGAATTTTGGCCCTGTTGTTGACGAGGTTCCCCCTTCCTCGAAGGGCCATATAAGTTTAAATTCTGTTTCAAATTTAAAGGTGGCCTTTTGGTTTGGTTCACCAAACTAATATCTTTCGCTGATCTTTCAGCAGCTTTAGCTGTTTTCAGCTTTTCCCCAAAGTTTTCCCCATATAGATATTTATCAACTGGGGTTGTTGCAGCTAACTCCACTACAGTTTTATTTAGTGAGTTATTGATCATGGACCTTCGCTGAATTGACAACTGATTTTGTAAACCAGAATAATGTCTGACCACGTCAGAAATAATTGAAATATATTCCTTTTTTTGAATATATTCTCCTTCGTCCTGCAACATTTTGTTGAGTGTGTACAACAAAGTACCTAACCCCTTTGCATTTTGTTCTTGAGTTTGTGTCATATATTTATCTTTGGTTAGGGAGATTTGCTGTAAAGAAGCCGATATTTCTGGGTTGAGGATTGGTGGCCCCAAGTTTATTTCCTTTGGTTGGGGGTAATTGCATAACAGGGTTTTCTTAAGCTCTTTGTCTAAGCCTTTTGCTAATATAAAGCTTACCCTTTTAGACAGCTCTGGGTGAAGGTCAAATATATTTTTGTAGGCTCCTTCTGGGTCCTCCCCCAGGCAATTCATAATATCATCTGATAAGTCTATATTGACTGTATCTTGAGGGGTTTGGGCTTGAGCCGCCGGACTACTCGAGCCCCGATCGGTTCTGAATACTGGAGTAGCCGAGCTTCTCGAGTCTCGGTCTGCTCGTGAAAAGGGGGTCGCCGGGCTTCGCGAGCTGCGGTCGACAGTGGAACTTGTATGAGCCATGCTATGCCAGTCATGGACTTCGGCCGAGCCACTCGGGTCACGGTCCTTATTCCTATCTAAGGTTTTCCTACCTTGTTTTCGCCTCTTTGTTCGCCTTTCCTTTGATGGAGATGGAGACCTGTTTCTTCTGCGAGAACGCGTTTCTATGGATGTACTTTGTCTTCCAAACGAAGGCGAACGCTTTCGCTTTTTCAGATCGTCTAGCTTCTTTTGAAGCATTTCCAGTTCTGAGTCTATAGAAGAGGATCTAGGGGATCTCCTTCGGGACTCGTTTTCTAGTTTCCTTTTATGTTTTCCCATTACTTTATTCAATTTTATTGAAGAGATAAATTTTTTGCGCCTTTTCTGTGCACAGAAAATAAAGACTGACAGTTCACGCGTCACCCGTCAAGGAGCATGACAAGGCGTGGGGCGCGTTCCTTTTTTCTTTAAACTCTGTGGCGC